AACTCGAGTGTTGACTGAATCAGTGGGCGACGTCCATCTTTACTTTGATAGTTATATGAATTTATATTTACGAAACTGTTTTTATGTTCCTCAATTTAAGAGCAATCTTATTTTTATTGCTTGTTTATTTAAAGATTCTTATTCGGTTTCTTTTAATAATAAAATTACGATTCGTAAAAATATGTCTTTTATCTGTGATGGATGGATGCAAAATAATCTATATTTTATTAAACCTATGATAGACTCACTGCTAAACACTGAAATTGTTAATAACTCTAATAGGCTTAAAACTTCTCACTCTAATGAGACATTTTTAATATTTACGACTTAGTCAAATTAGCCTTAACAGGATACAAAAGTTGATAAAAGATGGACCTTTAAGTTCTTTACAAGTTGGGTCCTTACCCCAACGTAAGTCTTGTTTGGAAGGCAAAATAACCAAAAGACCTTTTAAGTCTAAGAGCAACAGGACTGAAGATGTTATTGAACTTGTGCATAGTGATGTTTATGGTCTCATGAACATCAAGACAAGAGAAGGGTATGAGTATTACGTCACTTCTATCGACGATTACTCAATATATGGTTATGTGTACCTAATGCACCACAAAAGTGAAACTTTTGAGAAATTCAGGGAGTTTCGGGCTAAAGTGGAAAAGCAATTGGGTAAATCTATAAAGGCACTTCGATCCGATAGAGATGGAGAATACCTCTTTGATGATGAGTTATTCGACATTGTCTATATCTTTATTGGAATATACTTTACAAACTGCATGTTATCTTCTGAATAACGTGTCAACAAAGTCAGTTCCTAAAACTCCTCACGAGTTGTGGACGGGCAGGAAGACATCCTTGAACCATATTCGCATACGGGGATGTCCTGCACATGTCCTGGACAAGGAAGCGAATAAGTTAGAAGTACGTTAAGAAGTGTGTATTTTTGTAGGTTATTCGAGAGGGACGAAAAAATGTTATTTCTATAACACCAAGAAAAATAAAGTCATAATTTCAACAAATGTAACATTGCATGGGGAAAGAAAAATGCAGAAGGAAAAGTCAAAACCTATAAGGCTAGACTGGTAGCTAAGGGATACACGCAAAATGAGAGAATCGATCACGAGGAAACCTTTTCGTCTGTAGTCATGCTTAAGTCTATCCGCATTCTCTTATGCATTGCGACTGCTCTCGACTACAAGATCTGACAAATAGATGTCAAGACGGCGTTTTTAAACGGCTATCTTGAGAAAAATATCTATATGGTACAACTAGAAGACTTTAGGGCTAAGGGTCAAGAGGAGAAAGTTTGTAAGTTGTTAAAATCCATTTATGGATTAAAGCAAGCTTCTCGTTCTTGGAATAAAAGATTTGACCAAGTGGTTAAGACTTTTGGATTCTAACAGAATATGGATGAACCTTGCGTTTATAAGCATATTCAATATGGGAAAGTGATTTTTTTACTATTATATGTTAATGACATTCTACTCATTAGTAATAATATATGGGCTTTGTCATCAGTTAAAATTTAGCTTACCAACAGTTTGACATGAAAGACTTAGAAGAAGCTAATTATGTTCTGGGCATTTGAATCTTAAAAGATCGAAAAAATAAAATAATAGCTCTCTCAGGCTTCATACATAGATAAAATTCTCGAAAAGTATGCAATGCAGAATTTCAAAAAAGGTAGGCAACCATTTAGGTCTAAAATTACTCTTTCGAGCAGTGATTGTCTCAAGACATCTGTGGAAAGAAAATACATGGCAAAGGTTTCGGCAGTTGGAAGCCTCATGTATGCAATGCTTTACACTCGACCGGATATTTGCCATGCAGTCGGGATTATAAGTCGATATCAGTCGAATTCAAGACCTAACCACTGGATAGCGGTCAAACATATATTCAAGTATATTCGGAGGACTAGAAATTATATGCTGATATATTCCGGAGAGGAATTGTACTGCGATAACAGTGGGACAATAGCTAACATCAAATAACCAAGATATCAAAAAATAAGTAAACACATAAATAAGAAGTATCATGTGATAAGGAGTTCTATTGAAGAAGGGCATGTAGAAATATGCAAGATTGCGTCGGAGGACAATATGGCCGACCCGTTCACGAAGGCCTTGCTGGCTAAGGCTTTCGAGAAGCATGTCGAGGCTATGGGAATGCGTAGCATGTCACATTTATTCACTTAAGTGCAAGTGAAAAATTGTTAGCGTTTATGCCCTTAGGACTAAATGTAACAATGTTTCTTGAGACATTTTGACAATTAATAAAGATTTATTTATTTCATATATCTGTGTATTGTTCTCGTTATGTTCATATTAGTTGAATGTATGATAAGCAAACTGAAAGTCTAAAACTGTCATTCTAAATCTTTAGGTCATGCATGTAATGTGGTCATGGAAACGAGAATAGCAAATAAGACCAGTTGGTTGAGGCTCTTCCGGTTGCTGTTTGGAACGCTTTGATCTGTCAGACGTGTTGTTTCCTAAATCTCTAAAGGTATTGTTGACAGTGAAATTTCGTCAACGGGATCACGCTGGGTCACCCCTTGGTATCCCGTAGGGTTACCCGCCTAATACTGGTTATATACTGAAAATAATGCTTGTGAAGTGTTTGAATAAGCTTTCTGGTGAAAGTAATATGAGTGTAATGCTTGAATGAAAGGGCACACATGAAATTTATAATGGTTCACTCTGTTAATGAAGAGTTACATACACTGTGTTTTTGCATATATCTTTCCTATTCTCTAATTACATGTAGAGTGAGGAAGAGAGATGGAGAATCCGAGAGAGAGAGATCCCTTTCATTCGGGTTCTGAGGTGGCGCTTCAGGGTTTTCCAAGCCTCTGACTACTCGGTTTTCATGAGCCCGGCGTATGGCGGCTCTTTGACGACTGCCGGAGGATTGGGAAGGTCGAGGCCTCGGATCACCTCTAAGATTTTCACTGTCCCCGATTCCTTCTGGGGCATCTTGACGGTCACCGGGATTCTGGTTTCCAGCCACGGCAGCTCCCAGTAGTCTCAGAACGTCTTCTAGAGGCGGCATCGAGTTTCTTCCATCAAATCGCTCAACGACAGTCACTAGCCCCCGCACCAGGTCAGTCCGAGTGGTGAGCTGGGCCTGCATCTGCAAGGGGTCAGATCGCAGTACGTCTAGGGGTGGAACTTCATTCCTAACCGGAGGTTGGTTTTCTTCAATCCCGTCATTTGCCGGATGTGTGGTGGTTTCCTCTATCTGGCTGCCTTGATTGATGGCAACATCTCTTTTTCTTGGAGCCATAGTTGCTGACTACTTCTTTGTTGTCGGGGGTCAAACGTATGAACTAGAGATTCTGGGTTCAGTCCCCAGTGGAATCGCTAATTGTTGACGGTGAAATTTAGTCAACAGAATCACGTTGGGTCACCCCTTGGTATCCCGTAGGGTTACTGGCCTAATACTGGTTATATACTGAAAATAATACTTGTGAAGTGTTTGAATAAGCTTTGTGGTGAAAGTAATATGAATGTAATGCTTGAATGAAAGGGCACACACGAAATTTATAGTGATTGACTCTATTAATGAAGAATTACATCCACTGTGTTTTTGCATATATCTTTCATATTCTCTAATTACATGTAGAGTGAGGAAGAGAGATGGAGAATCCGAGAGAGAGATCCCTTTCATTCGGGGCCTTACCCCTTTTATAGCCCAGAGATTACTTCGTGGGTGGTTTTTCTTAGTAGGCTCATTCACTTGAGTAGCCTACTAGCCTATGAACCCAGAACCCATAGCCTGTCAGCAACTTTTTCACTGTTCACTCATCCAATTTGTCCGCTATTGCGGCTATGCACATCCCCCTTTAATCCTCCACTGTCCATTAAATGGTGGTTTATGGGCTTGTAATTAATGCCTGCATTACTTACATTCTTCAAACCCAGACGCAACTTCTTTGTCCACTCAGGGGCCTTTCTGGAGATGTGGACCCATGTTTATACGGTCGGCTTCCTATGAGGCTTCTCCTCCTTGGAATGGTCGGCCGTCTGGAGGCCTCTCCTCCATAGAGGCGTCGGCCGTTCGGATGCCCCTTGGGGCTCTTGGCAGGTTTAAGAACCTTCTTCATGGATGCCTCTCCTCCTTGGAGGGGTCGGCCTCATGGAGACCTATCCTCCTTGGAGGCGACGGCCGTTCGGATGCCCCTTAGAGTTCTTAGCAGGTTTAAGAACCTTCTTCATGGAGGCCTTTCCTCCTTAGAGGGATCGGCCTCATGGATGCCCCTTGGGGCTCTTGGCAGGTAAGAACCTTCTTCATGGAGGCCTCTTCTCCTTGGAGGGGTCGGCCTCATGGATGCCCTCGGGGCTCTTGGCAGGTTTAAGAATCTGCTTTTTAGAGGCCTCTCCTCCTTGGAAGGGTCGGCCGTCTGGAGGCCTCTCCTCCTTTTAAGGGTCGGCCGTCTCTGACGTGGCAACGCATATTTTCCCACACAACAGGTATGATTTAGATCTTTAGTATTTATGTTATATAGCATCATGAACATGTTCTTATTTGGCTTTAGCGTTGATTTAAATTTTAAAAAATAAAATTTCACTACGCACTCGATGCCGTATTTTTCAACAGATGAAACATAGATACATATAATATGCACAGCATATTAAGTTTAAAACTTTCAAACACGTGTTATGTGAGAGAATCAACACAATACCTCCATTACAAATCAGTCTTAACTGTCCAGCCACATGCATATTGCAAGAACGCCCCACATACATAGTAGTGTACACGTACATGCAACTTGTAAAAGCGACGGTGCCCAAACCATCACCTTGCCTATTGTAGAAACACAACTATGGCACTATTTCATACACTAACTTAACTCCGCCCTCAATTATATAACATAATGATAATCGTCATAAGAAAAGGCCAAATATAACTGCTTAAATAAATATACTTTTAAAACTTGTAGCAGGGTGAAGAAGGAAGTAACCAAACAAATAATTGAATTCATAAGTGAAGTTTCTCAAGCATACCACCCAGGGGGTCCTGCGGTGACCACTCAAAACCTTCAAGCAGCTCCCAGATCGGCAATCAATAATCTTTACAGTATGATCTCCACTGCAATTACAGAGAGAAATCAGAATTTAAGAAAGGAACATGCGCGAGATTACCATTAAGCTTTACCAAGCATATTTCTCAAAATATATAACTTCACCATAACTTACTGCGTAGAGGCAAGTGTCTTCCCATCAGGGCTGAATGCTGCAGCTATAGTTGACCTTGGAGGAGGCAAAAGTGGACAATATTTCGCAGACAGATGCCTTAATGACTCTGCCTCCACCCTGAAAACAACCAAGGTGCATGGGATTACCCAAAGTCTCAGCTAGAGTGCTAAATAATTGACGGTTTGCATCCAAGTTCCCACCAAAAAACATAAAGATCAATCCTCAAATAGAAGAAATAGACCAACATAATTCTTTCCATCACTAAAAATAAAGATGAACAATACAATAAGGAATTACCATGAGACAAGACCATGTCTAGCATTCCTAGCAGCATCACACCTTGGCCTAGCGAAATTGAGGTGGCACTTGGAAGTTTCTCCCCATAACCTCTTTGATAAATGTGTTGTTTGAGGAGAAACCTCTCTTCGAGCTAACAGTTGAAATACATTGCCAACTCTGACAATAACATCAGATACAGGCAAATCAATACGTGAACAAAAAATTCCAAGTTTGCAACTATATCAATTCCATTATTAGCAACAACAAAGTAAGCCATTCCAATTGTCAAGCATTCATAAGTACATGGATTCTAATGCTCTCCATAAGAAAGAAAAAGAAAATAATCGAACAACTTACTCAATCAAAATTTCTTAACCGCATAATAGACAATCAAGCTCAATTAACATTTCAGCTCGTAAAAGCAACAAATTCGATTCAGAAATAGTAACAATTACATGCAAAATCTCAGGCAGAAGAAAACTTTAAATAATCCACCAAATAATTGTATTACCAGATTGGTAAAAAGGAATCAGAATCCGTAAAGCAAAGCAATAATGGGATTTTCCGAATTTAAATCCTAATGAACTCATCAAAAAGCCTATCAAAACTTCTGAAATCTCCTCAAACTCGAGCAGTATTCAACAAATCCAAGCGACATTCAGATGTCAAACAAAAAATCCGAAATTCAAACCAAATTAAGAAACAGAAATCGAAAAAACAAAAATCGAATTACCTGCGCCTAGACGGAGGATTAGCCGGAGAAATGCGCGACGTGGAGGTCGAAGGAGCATTAGCCTCGTCGGCCCACAACGGAGCTCCCATCATAATTTTCTCGGGAAAACCTCATGCTCCTAAATTTCTCCACATCCTAGTGGACAATCGCAAACTTTCCGGGAAAATTCAGATTGACACAACAAAACTGCCGTAAATAAATTCATCAAACACGATACACAAAACCCAATATATACGCAATATATATTTGCCTTTGATAAGCTATATGAAGCAAGATCTCATTGAAAGGAAAGGAAATGCGAAGGAAAAACCTAAGAGAGAGGAGAGAGAGAGCGCTCCGGTTTTGTTGATTGGCTTCGATTGAAATGTTTGCAAACTGAAGACATTTTCATAGCTTGGAAATTTATTTATATTTATATAGAGACGGTAAAAGAGAAATGAAATTCATTTCTGAATTTCTGCGTTGGTGAGGAAGAAGTGGATTGACGAGGATGACCTTTGGGTGTGTTTGGTTAAGAGGAATATAAAAGAATGGAAAAGAATCATATTTATTCTTATATTTGGTTAATTTTAAGAAAAGAAATAGCCATTTAAAATGAAATAATTTTTTTATTAAATAGGTGAATTATTATTTCTTTTTCATATAAATATAAGAAGAATGCTAATTCCAAATTCTTTTATTTTTCTTTCATCATTACTCTTAAATATTATAATATTAATATTTATAATATAAGTAATATTATATTATATTAATTTATACTATAATATAATTATATCTTATAACATATGATATAATATATTATAATTATATACATATATTATAATATATCATATTTAATATTATAATAATATCTTATATTATGTATTATACATTGTAATTATATTTATTATTAATAAAATATACAATATAATAGTCATATTGTAATTAATAATAATAATAATTATTATATTTATCATTATAATATAATATAATATAATATAATATAGTTGTAATATTGTAATAAATAATTATAATAATAATTGGGATAATAGTATTTTCTATAAAATTAAATATAGTAATTATATATTTTATAAATAATTATATTATATTATATTATGTTATATTATATGATATAGATGTGATTTTTTCATTAATAATATGATAGTTATA